CCTCCTCAAACTTAGAAGCTTCTGTAAGGCAAATGACACAGTTGACAAGACCAAATGGCAGCCCACAGACTGGGAAAAGATTTTCACCAATCCTACATCTGACAAAGGGCTGATCTCCAAAATATACAAAGAACTCAAAAAACTAGTCAACAAAACACCAAATAACCCAATTAAAAAATGGGATACAGAAATGAAGAAAGAATTCTCAATAGAGGAAATCAAAAAGGCTGAGAGACACTTAAGAAAGTGCTCAACATCCTTCACTATCAGGGAAATGCAAATCAAAACAACTTGGAGATATCATCGTACACCTGCCAGAATGGCTAAACTTAGAAACACCAATGACAGCTTATGCTGGAGAGGATGTGGAGAAAGGGGAACACTCCTCCACTGCTGGTGGGAGTGCAAACTCGTACAGCCATTTTAGAGATCAGTATGGCGGTTCCTCAGGAAAATGGGAATCAGTCTACCACATGACCTGGCAATCCCCCTCTTAGGCATATACACAAATGATCCACATCCATGCAACAAAGACATGTGCTCAACTATGTTCATAGCATTATTTATAATAGCAAGAACCTGGAAGCAACCTAGATGCCCTTCAACTGAAGAATTGATAAAGAAGATGTAGCACATTTACACAATGGAATACTACTCTGCAGAAAAAAAAAAAAAAAAAAAAAACAATGGAATCTTGAAATTCAAAGGCAAGTGGATGGAACTTGAAGAAACCATCCTGAAAGAGGTAACCCAGTCACAAAAAGAGAAACATGGTATGTACTCACTCATATATGGATTTTATACCTAGAGCGAAGGATCACCAGCCTATAATTCACACCGCCAGAGGAACTAGGATACAAGGTGTATTCTAAGAGATTCATATAAAGTCCCTCACAGAAGGGGGAAGGGACAAGTTCTCCAGAGCACAGGGGAAGTGGGGGAGTGGAGAGGAAACTAGGAGAAAGAGAGGCGAGGCGAGGAAAGCAAGTGGGACTAGGAAGATTGAGTCAAGGAAGGAATAGAAGACAAAGGGAGGGGGAGAAAGAGAGAGAAAGAGAAAACATAAAAGAGGGAGCCATTATAGGATTGTAGAGAAAACTGAACCTAAAGAAATGTCCAGAGACCTATAAGACTGACTCCAACTAACAATCTGAGCAACAGTGGAAAGGCTACCATAAATGCCCCTCCCTGATAGTGAGATCAACAACTAACTTATCCATCATCACGGAGCCCTCATCTAGTACCTGTTGGAAACGAAAGCAAACACCCACAACTAAACACTGAGCCGAACTAGAATCCAGATGCAGAGAGGGAGGACAAGACCATGCTGCAGAAACATATACAGACAGCTTACCTGAACAAAGAAGAGCTAATGGGCCCCCAGACTGATAGCTGGGAATCCAGCATGGGTTTGACTCAGACTCCCTGAATATGGGTCTCAGCTAGAAGGCCTGAGCAGTCTACAGGACCTCTATGGGACCTCAGACAGTGGAACCAGGATGTATTCCTGGTGCACAAAAGCACCTTGCGGCACATCCCCCATGGAGGGATACTCCCTTAACCTAGAGACAGGAGAGAAGTCCTAGTCCCTATTTCAAATGACTTGTCACATTTAGATGACCACTCCTGGATGGCATTACCCTACATGTGGAGTGGGGGGAGTGGTCGGGGTGCATGTGAGGGGGAGAGAGAGGGAAAGAGGAAGGGAGGAATGGAGGGAGGAAGGGAGGGAGAAGGAACTGGGATCGATATGTAAAATAAAAAAAAAAAAAAATACAAAAAAAATCCTCTAAATAGGTTCCCGTGTACACTGGTAGGCTTAAGAAAGAAACTGAGTATTGACAGTCATAAAAAGAGTTTAAAAATTATAGTCTTTAAAGAGACAGTACAAGTAATATAAAGGAAAAAAGAATTGCACAGAGAGCCTGAATTCTGTATGCTATTGCATTGAGTTTTAATTTTTTGATTGTTGAAAAGCAAGGATAGAATTGAAAGAGGGACTGTGGAAATAAACCAGCCTAGACATTTTAAGAATGCCTTAACTTTAGAAAACAAAAATGTATTTGTAAAATAGATATCAAAAATGCTTTGGAGAATTGGTTTTGCTTTTGTTTCCACAAGAAACAAAAGGCTGTGGATTCCTTCCAGGTTGATAAGGATATGGTCTAATCAGGAGACAGCAACCAACTGAACTTGACAGGTGATTATCTATCAACTAAAGTTATAGCTAGTCTTCCCAGAACTTAGTCATTATTTCAAATTTTCCTCAGGGACCCCTGGGAATGCCTTCAACCACAGCCAGCAGAAAAAGGTATGGAGAGGACTGCACCCACATTCCCAGGAGGAAAGGGGTGTGGGTGGTCTCTGGTTATTTTGTGGGTAATGGATGCTTGTTATAATTTAGGGGAATATAGGATAAAAACAACTATTAACCTCAGATATTTTGCATTGGCATGAGTTTTGGTATATGGATACAAATTCAAAGTCAGTTCTGTTACATTGATGTTTCTACTCTTGTTTACTTTGTATATTGCTACAGCTTTAAGGTCATTTTTGTTATCACACACTGTATGTTTCTACTCCTGTTTAAAAGATTTTTGTATATTGATAGAAATGTAAGGTTGTTTTAGTTAAACATGTGGTGTGTGTTTCTGCTCTTGTTTAAGGTACTGTACCTAGGCAGTTCACTTAAAAATGTAAGGTAAAATTCTAATTTAGAAAGCTATTATTATGAACTATTTAGGACAATCAAGAAATGGGTTAGTAGTCATCTGTAACAATCAAATTTGTAGTTATTTTAGATAGATGGTTTTCAAACCTTCCAAAGACCCACTGAACATAGCATTTAAAATGTTTTGTTAATTTAGGGCTTTTCATGACAATGAGACACATCTGTTCCTGGCAGCACTGATTTACTTAAGAGATGACCCGCATTGAAGACTACTCATGGAGTGTGCTTTCATTGTGGTAAGGTTAGTCACTGGGCAAAGACACTGCTTTTGCCTTTAACTACTTATAGTGTGCTATGCAGACTGGACATGCAGGACCCACAGGCAAGTGACCACTGAACTTTGCCAGAACAAGGTGGGATGGTCCTTCAAAGTTCCCGCTTCCCAGAAGAAACTGCTAGGCATTCTGCAGGACACACAGTAAAATATCAAAACTGTATTTCAAATTTCCTGCTTCAATGAAAGGTCTACTAGATATTAGGGCCTTGTGGACTGAAGAAGAATGCTCCAGCAGTGCATAGGAACTTGGGGTGACTGTCCAGGCACAAATGTCTCTGTCATTTCTAGAGTTTTTGAAGTCGTTTGCAATGCAATTTTTGTTTACTTAAATAATATATTCTCTGATGCCTTTGATGGAGTTAGAAAGTTGTAGTTGCAGTTTTCCTAAGCTATGATAGAAAGTTAAATAAAAAATTTTGGATTTACTAAGATAGGATAGATTATGGAGTATTTTCTTTTAATTTGCCAGACACAAATGAACTGGAATCCATTACATTGTGAATGTACTCTTTACTTGATAATTGTTCTTATTTTGTACAGTCTTATTATGTTAAAGTTAAAACCTTACATTTCTTTTTATTCAGACAAAAAGGGATAAATGTGGTAGAATATTATTTTAAGGTGTGTGACATGTTTATGCTACATTTGTTTAACTCTGAAGCTGTGATTCTTTGCTTGTCTAAAACACCTGATGGTCGGAGCAAGAAAACAAGGAGAGGAGGACGTCAGTGGCAGCCACCCACCCATCCAGCTACACAGCCATTCACAGAATAAGATTTACACAAGTAAGAGAAAGACAGGAGCCCAGAGGGAAAAGGTAGACAGATTAATTTAAGAAAAGCTGGCTAGAAACAAGCCAAACTAAGGCCAGGCCAGGCACTCATAACTAATAATAAGACTCCATGTGTGGTTAATTTGGGATCTGGGTGACGGGGACCCCTAAAAGAGAAAAGTTCTTACTACATGTCTACAGGTTTATAATAGCTTCTTTGAATGGCACTGCAAGGATGTATTATATATTTACCAGAGCCCAGGAAAAGATGGTGCTATGAATATCTGGGAATGGTCAGAAAAGAACCAGCCCCCAAAGGGAGCGGCACTATTAGGAGGTGTGGCCTTTTAGAGTAGGTGTGGTCTTGTTGAAGTGGGTCACTGTGGAGCTGGCTTTTTGAGGTATCATATATGCTTAAAGTATGCTCAGTAAGACAGAACATTTCCTGCTGCCTGCAAGATGTAGGACTCTGAGCTACTATTCCAGCACCATGTCTGCCTGCACACGGCCATACTCCCAGCTGCCATGCTCCCTGTCATGATGATGGATGGACTAAACCTTTAAAAATGTTTCCCTTTATAAGAGTCACCGTGGTCATGGTGTCTCTTTACAGAAACAGAAACCTAACTAAGACAACATCTTTACCGTATTGAGAACACTAGAAGTCTGAAATCTAGAGGTACTACATGTAAGTGTCCAAAAAGCTGCTAGAGCAGATTGCTGGCCCACTTTGCCTGGCTGCCATAGGTGCTCAGGGGATACCTGTACCTTCTGATGCATTTTGTTTATTTTCTTTCTTTGAGACAAGGTCTTACTTTGTAGTCTTGGCTATCCTGGAACACATTCTGTAGACCAGACTGGCCTCAAACTCAGAGACCCACCTGTCCCTGCCTCTGGAGTACTGGGATTAAAGACATGTGCTATCACACCCAGCTTTAGGCACACTCTTGTTGCCCAAAGAAGAGGTTCTAAAGTTCAGGCTTTATTTACATGCTGCTTTAGCCTTACACAGCAATCAGGAAATAGTCACAGAAGGAGACTGAGGGGCTTGTCAGGTGACAGTGTATGAGGTGCTTATCTGATTGAGAAGAGAACAATTGTGTATAAGGCACCTTCCTGTGGCCATGACTAACCACAAATGACCATGTAACAGCAGGTATGAGGCCAGGTGGCACTGCTCCAGATGTAAAGAAGAAAAGGCAGACAGCAGCCATCTTTACCCATTGGTTCAGTGGATCACAGGAGTCTCTCTCCCGGCCAACAGCTGCAGGTGCCACGTTGGATACTGGGGCAGCTTTAAAGGCTTGATCTGAGGCCAAACACAGAAGAGATTAATTCCCAAAAAACAAGGCTACATATACATTACAATCCCAATCCCAATTCATGTAGGTGCTAATGTGAGTCCTAAGAGAATAGCATCATATACTAGTGAAATCAAAATGTCTGAGAGGTTTAGGTCCTACACTTTTCTGCTAAGTGACTTCTCAATAGATTTTTAGAATAGGATTCTTCCCCAGTCCCCTCTGATTTCCCAAGACAGGGTTTCACTGTGTGACTATGGATGTCCTGGAATTTGCTCTATAGACCTGGCTGGCCTTGAACTCAAGAGATCTGAGTGCTATGTCTAAAGACCTGTACTACCACTGCCCAGCTTAGAAAAGAATTCCTAAATTCTTTCTTTTCTTTTTTTGTTTTTGTTTTTTTTTGTTTGTTTGTTTGTTTTTTTTTTCTTTTTCTTTTTTTTAATTTGCTTTTAACACCAGCCTGGTGGTACACAGGTATAATCTCAGTCTTTGGTAAAGCTGAGACCAGAGGGTTGTTATGAGTTCAAGGCCAGTCTGGCAGCCTAGGCCCCAGGAGACAATTAAGTCTTCAAAAAAAAAAAAAAAAAAAAAAAAAATTGGCCCAGCACTTGTGAATTTGAGGCTAAACCAGTTTATACTGTAAATTCCAAGCCAGTCAGAATGAGAAGGGGTGGGGTGGGAAAGGGGTAAGAGTGAGGATCTAGCCTCCTTAAGCAAAATACTTGAGAAGTAGTGGCTAAGAATTTAACAGAAGAATAGAAGGCTTAATGTCCCACCCTCTTTCCTCATTATATAACTCCTAAAAATATCCCCAGAAATACAATTCTTTATTTCCATTTTTTAAAAAGTTACTCTTGCCAGGTGGTAGTGGTGGCACACACCTTTAATCCCAGTCTCTGATAGAAGAGGCAGGCCGATCTCTGAGTTCAAGGCCAATCTATTCTACAGATCGAGTTCCAAGACAGCCAAGGCTACACAGAGAAACTCTGTCTCAAAAAAAACAAAAGAACAACCAAACAAACAAAACAGTCACTTTCCTTAGAGGAATTCTGAGAACAAACCAAAGCAAATCTTGTAAAGTTGACAACTAGTCTTCTAAGCACTGTGTGATCAAGCTGGCTCAGCACAGGCTATGTGATGGCATTTGGGAGTACTTGGTTTGGTCATAGGCATTTAACGCTAGCATGCTTGTGGAAACTGTTATACTTTTCTAAAATGCCTGAAGATTTTTTTAGCAATAAAAACATATAAACTACTTACTTGATTTCACACATTAAATTTAAAACCCGAAACACAGATACATTTTTTTTTTTTTAAATCACTTACCTGAACCTGGCAATTCCTGAAAAAATCTGAACACCACTACTGGAGAACTGAGCTCATCTTCCACCTGCAAAAAGAGTGCACTGTTACAGGATGAGATGATATCTTTGGAAAATCAGGCAGAAATGTTGCTTGTACACAGTATGTTAAGAAGCTCAAAAGCTGTAACGGGCCATTTGAAATGAAAATGAAAATGATGGTTCCTTATTCACTTGACCCAACAAACCCTATAAAATCATGCAAACCAGTAGCCTTAAAAAAAAAAAAAAAAAAAAAAAAAAATGTATAGGAGTTTGTATGAGTGTGAACCACGCTTGTGCCTGCTACCCACAGAGGCCAAAAGAGGATATTGGATCCCTTGTAGTAACTCTAGTTACAGATGGTTGTGAGCCACTATGAAGGTGCTAAGAATGAAATCTGGGTCTTCTATAATAGCAGCAAAGTGTTCCTAACTGGAGAGCCATCTCTCCAGCCTAAATCAGAACTCTTTTATACTCGGATTTTTTTTTTTTTTTTTTTTTTTTCTTTAAAGGCATTGCTTTTAGAATAGGACTCTAGTCCTTCTGGCAATGCATATACCTGCAGTCTAAAATATACTGGTGCATTGCCAGACAAGTAACTCAATGTATTTTCTAATTGATGACAATGTTCACTGCACTACAATGACACAAATCAACCATCAGGCTTTACCATACATACATCCATGGTATGCACCAAGCAGCAACAGCTGGCAGGCTCTGTGGTGGTTTGCTGGATAAAGCTTTGGGGATGCTTTCTTTCAGCATTTAAAAGTTGTAATCTATCATTGTAGTCAGGAATCCTGTTGTGGCTGATAACTCACTTAGTAGGACCACAACAGGAAGTGCTAACTCACAAACAGGCTCCCTGATTATATAGTGCTAGCTGGCTTGGAACTCAATATGTAGACCACTGGCCTTGAGTTTAGAGAAAATTCTACTTCGGTCTCCCAGTTGCTGGTCTTAAAGGTGTGTACCACCAGGCCTGACTTTAACACTTTAAAGATGTATATGGAAGAGATTCTGATCTAGTAAGATTTATATTTAAATTTGCTAATTATTTATTGAGCTGGTCTTATATTAAAATGTTTTACATCTGCCATCTCTAACTCTGACATAAATAAAAAAATTACTAATGTCTTTAAGAGAGTAAGTATTTATTGTTTAAGTAGAATGGGGTAAGTTCTACAGGAAGAAAAACCTAAAAAAGGTGGCAAAATAATCTCTCCATCTTTTGAAGTAAGGCAAAATAATCCAGTCCACAAAGTGTGTATGTATAATCATACAATTATATAATATATAATCATGTAATTGTAATATATTTGTGTGTGTGTATATATATATATTTATATATAAAATCACTGTTTCCTTCTTCCTTTGAACTCAGTGTCAATGTGTACAAGAAATACTGTGTAGAGTTATATACAGCAATGCAAGGTTCTCCCAACATAATAGACTCAGTTATCTAATTCTAAATTCTGAAGTGTTACATTAAGCCAAATTAAATCCAAAAAGTTTAAACCAGAAAGAAGAGTAAACAGAAGAAGCAGTTGTGAAAGCTGGATGTGGTGGCAGGCAGGAGGCAGAGGCAGGCGGATCACTGAGTTTGTGGCCAGCCTGATCTACAGAGCGAGTTCCAAGACAGTCAGAGCTACACAAGGAAACCCTGTCTCAAAAAACCAAACAATGGCAATAACAATGCAGCAGCAGCAGCTATAAAGATAATCTAAGTTGCACGGATAGGGAATATGAGTATTTGTAAACCTCTACTTTTATGGTTGAGATCCTATACTTTAATGCCCATGTGCTGGATGAAGAATTTACACAAAGCCTTTAATGAAGCTTCTGTAGGGAAAGAAATAACTGTGTGTGTAATGTGCAGAGAGAGAGAGAGAGAGAAAGAGAGAGAGAGAGCTAGCTTAAATAAAAACAAGTTCAATGAAGAAAACTCCCAGGGAATCAAGTGATGTATGTCCTATGTGTATCTGTCCAGGTGCTGAGGGGAGGGGTTTTTGAAGAGGAGACTATTGAATTGAGATCTGAAAGCTCACAACCCAGTCAAAAGAAAAAATGGGGAGCAATGAGTGTTTCTAAGCAGAGGAAACAAAGGAGACCGATGTGGAAATTAAGCAAAACAATGCAGAAAAGGTGCTTGGCCTAAGGAGTAAGGTTTTTCCTCCAGCCCGCCACTGGTCTTGTCCCACCGCCGCCGCACCAGCCCCAATTAATACACTGAGACTCTGTATTTGATATAATGCTGTTGGCCAGATACTTGTTTCTTATCACCTAGCTCTGTCTTAAGAATTAACCCATTTCTGTTAATCTAATATTTCCACATGGTTATCTTACTGAGAGCCTGCTGGCGTCCTGCTCTCTCCAGACTCTCCATCTTGACTCCTCCTTACTACTTCCTCTTTCCTCCTTTCTCCTAGTCCCTCCTCTCTTACTTTCCTATTGGCCAACAATGCTTTATTCATTAACCAGTATAAGAAACATATATATAGAATGGCATCTCCCATCATCTCCTCTTTTCTGTCTAAATAAAAAGAAGGGTTTTAACCTTAACATAGCAAAATATATAACACAACACCTGGGTACTGTGTGTGCTAAATGTTAATAAGCAGCCCACTAGTAGCTGTGACAGTTGATGACTGACATGCTACTTACTATGTCTTTTGTTGTTTGCTAATCATATATCCTCCACTGAAGAAGGGGCCATTGAAAGAAGGGCTGTTGGAAGATTTTCTAGACTCAATGTAGCTTTACAAATACACTTCAAAAGAACTCATGGTTAAGAGCAGACATGAGGAGAGCCTGAGTGGACTCAGCAATGGAAAGGAAAACCACATGGGCTTAGTACTCCTAACAAGCTCATTCTAGTCCACTTTGAATCTATCTCATCTGCAAGCAGAGGTGTCCAACCAATATACTTTCATTTGACAGCTGAGAGGAAAGAACAAGAGATTAAGAAAATAACTCAGTGGGTGGAGAGGTGGCTCAGTGCTTAAGAACACTGGCTATTCTTCCAGAGGTATTGGGTTCAACTCTCGGTACCTGTATGGTGACTCACAACTGTCTGTAACTCCAGTGCTTTCTCCTGACCTCTACACACATGCTAAACAGACATACTTGCCAACAAAACATCCATATACATAAAATAAAAACAATCTTATAAAAATAAAAAAAAAGACTCAGTGTTACAGGGTCTCCTAAGAACAGAACTCACGTCTCCTGACTTGGAGTTATCCCCTTTGCTCTTCCAATGACCCACCAGCATCTTCTAAGTTTCCTCTCAACTGAATGAAGCAAGCTGACAGGCTTCAGAATGCAATACAGAGTACCTGTTCCCCAATACTGACTTCAACCTTTCAACTTATTCTAAACAAAAGTAATTATATTAATCTGGAACCCAAATAAACTCAAGGACCAACTTTAAAACTTTAAATTAAGCCCATATTTTGCAAAAATGCCAAAAATTAAAAAAAAAAAAAAAAAAAAAAAAAAAAAAAAACTCAGTGAGCACATTTAAATAAAACCATGATCTATTTATTTCCTGAAATTTTATAAACTACCATGAATCTAAATGTGAAAAGCTGCTCTCCTGAGCCAATACTTGTAGTTGTTAGTCCTGCTAAGTCCCTATGTCCTTGTGAGTTACTACTTGAGGGAGCAAAGACCCCAGAAGACAAGACCTGGGGCACATGCTTTTTTCTTATCACTCTACTTTGAGCAGGCAGAAAGCAGCCCAGAGTGTTCTGAGACAGTCATCGCCGAGGATGGGTGATCTCAAGTCCTTGAAAGGTGAAGTCAAAGGAGTTACATAAGATCTTTGTGCAATTCTAGAGTTTAACAGAATTACAGGAACTTAAAATTTAAACAGATTTCTTAATTTCAGACTAACCATATAATTAGGCCATAAGCATATGTATGATTCCCTCCTAAGACTGTTGTTCACTGGAACTGTCACAACTCAAATGAAATGTTATCACACTTGGGGGAAAACCATATTCTTTACTGGAGATAAGAAACTTAATGCAAAAGCAGAGAAAATTACATATTGCTGCTGGTGGTGGTGGTAGCGGTGGAAGCATATACCTTTAATCTCAGCATTCAGGAGGCAGAGGAAGGTGAATCTCTGTGAGTTTGAGGCCAGCCTGGTCTAGAGAGAGTTCCATGACAGCTAGGACTATTACACAGAGAAACCCTGTCATGAACCACCCTCTCCCCAAAAAAGAAAGAAAATCATATACCATACCAAGATTTTGATGTGGTCCACTTTCTTCAAACCTTCTTGCAACTGCTGACTCTACAAATAACAACATAAAAAGTATACAACCTTAGTAGACTGACATGATTTATTAGAAGGTTTCATGAGGGTCTTTACAATATGAAAATAAGTACTTCAGACAGACAAAGGCATCTATCTATCTGCAACTTGGTGATTCCAATTTTTACAACTCAACATCTGTATATATTTTTTCAATCTTTCACATGCAGGCATATGGCATGCCAAGTCATGAGGGTGGATATAATTACCATTTTATACAGTCTCAAGCCAATAACCCTCATCATTGATAAGAGAATCATTATAGTCCCTGACTCAGGGAGTAGAGGAACATGAATTCAGCAGATACTCGAGTATTGGATGTTGCTCCTCAAGGAACTGCACTTGAAATGTGTTCTGTCAGTGAAACCTACATTCTAAAGAAATTGTGGGCATCATATGAAACAATAAAGGCTTTTATTTCCTAAGAACTAAATCATGATATGAGCTAACAGCATGATGAAAACACTTTTTTTTAAATGCTTTTTATAAACATAAACCTTAAAATTAATTTTTAACATAAAGGAATGACTCTGTAAACCACAGAATGAAATACTAATTTTTCTTAAGTATAAAAACAACAGGATAAAATGCCAATATCCTGGGTGTGGGGAGAAACAGTAGAGTATTTGTTTCAGGGTACAGAGACTGAACCCAGGGCCTACCAAGTGTGTGCTCCACCACTGACCTACAACCACAGCCCAAGAATATATTTAAAACAAAGTTTTAAACCTATATGAATAATTTATGTGACCAGGTACTACTTAATAGTTTAACACATATTACTTAAGTCTTTATAAGTAAATTATTATTGCATATCACAGGTGAGAAAATAAAGGTGTCAAAAGATGACATCATGCTTTTAAACTGACACCGGAGTCAATGTTCACACCACACAAATATGACTGTTTTCCCTTCTTAAGATAGCTTCTCATGTAATCCAGGATGTCTTCAAGCTCACTATGTAGTAGACTGGTCCCCTTCCTGATCTTCCTGCCCCCACCTCATGAAAGCTGGAATTATAGTAAAGGATGTTTATACTCAAAATCCAATCTCTTCTTCCTGCTGTTAAAGCTGGCCTTGAACACTTAGTCTTCCTGTCTCTGCCTCTTCTTAAGTGTTTGGAAAACAGGCCTGAGCTACCATACCTAATTTGACTTTTTGTTTTTTAATGGGTAAGGTTCTTAATATGTGTGTCTGTCAAAATTGTTAAGCTAAAACCCAATATGCTAAACAATGATATTCCTTTGAAAGTGGTTAGTACAAGATGGCTCAAGCATCATGCACTAAAAAGGATTCACTAAAAAATGAGCATGCTTATAAAAAGAGGATGAAGGGATGGCAGGTGGCAGTGGGAGGCACACCATTAATACCACACTAGAAAGGCAGAGGAAGGCAGATCTCTATGAGTTTGAGGCCAGCCTGGTCTACAAGAGTTTCAGAGTATCCATAGCTGTTACCAGAAAAACACTGTTTCAAAAGAAGAAGAAGAAAAAAAAAGAACAAACAAAAAAGAAGGGAGTGCTTTCCCTCTTTCCAGCTGAGAATAATACATAGATGGTACTATCTAAGGCCTTCACCAGACACTGAATCTACTGACATCTTGATCTCAGATTTGAGCATCTTCAAATATAAGCAACATGACTCACAAATTACCCAGTCCTAGTTATTTTGTTATAGCTTCCAAACAGATGACATTATCCTATAACAAAATTTATGTTTTTCATCCTCAAAATAACCCTAATACAAAGAAAGATTTGTCCCAAATAGGAAACAAACTACTATATTAAAAATACTCATACCTGGGAACTGGAGAGATGGCCCTGCAGTTAAGAACTCTGGCTACTCTCCCAGAAGACCCAGGTTCAATTTCTAGTACCCAAATGATGGCTCACAACCAGTTCCAGGGGATCCAATGCCCTCTTCTGGCCTCAGAGCAACAGGCATGAACATGGTACACAGACACATATGCAGGTAAAATAATTGTACACATAAAATAAAATAAATCTTTAAAAAAAAACAAAAAACCATGCCCCTCTAGCAGAGTTTAGAGCTATTGGTACTGAGAGCTGCTGGGAGAGGGAGAGCTCCCTTTCTTTAAAGTGTGGCTCTGTAGGTTTAATATGTTCTGTGAATGGATATACACTAGAGTATATTGACAGCACTTGATAGGTTAAAAAAAAAACAAAACAAACAAAAACAGATAAAGTAAGGTGAGTATGAAATGGAGTAAAAATACAATATATGAAATTCTAAAACCATTGATAAAAATACATATAAAAAAAACAATGCCACTTACATTGAATTTTACTTTTTTAAGTTTTTATTTTGAGACAAGGTTTCTCTATATAGTCTTGGCTTTCCTGTAACTTGCTATATAGGAATAGGCTGGCCTCAAACTCAAGAGATCCTTTTACCTCTGCCTCCCCAAATGCTGGGATTAAAGATATGGGCCATCATACCAGGCCTCTACATTAAATTTTCAATTGCTGTACTCCCTCTCCCTGGAAGGCCAGTCAGTAAAGAGCAATATTTATGTGCCTTCTCTCTCTCTCTGGAAGTCATCTTGTGACACTTTTCATCTGGAAATAATGTTGGTCAATGCCACCAGTCTCTCCCAGAACTCCTAAGAAATATGCATATATACAAGAGGTACCTAGTTTGCTTGCTGATGAGATGGTAAACCAAGGTGCCAAGACACTGGACAGATAGACCAAAAGTAAGATTTCCCTGTCTCTGCTTCTGTGGAGGGGCTTCTATAACGCTCTAATGTTCAAATTTCTACTCACCAGCTGACAGGCGTGCTTTATTCTTTCTACAACGCCATCAAGTCCCAAGTATTGTAAAGACAACCACAGCGGCAGGGCACGAAGTTTGTCTGCAGGCTTATTTGATGTAAGACCAGCTACTAGAGCCTAAAAAAAGACAAGACAGGTACACTGACCAGAACTGCTGGAATGTCAGCAATGACTAGCCACTCTTCACTACACACTTGGAAAGTACCAAATCCCATGATGGATACTTGGCTTGCATTACCCATCTGGCCTTTCAATAACTACTGCCCTAGGTGGGCTAGCTCAGAGTCCCAGATATGCTCAAGGATTCACACATGAAGAGAGGCAGAGCTACTCCAGGTGAAAATCCAGAGGAGGTATATTCTAGAGCCACTTAGGAGGCAGACTCTTGACAGGTTACTATAAGCATCTTTGAAATTGTTGGCCATTTCAACTAAGCAAGATATCAACTGTTAAAGCGGTAATTATTAAACATTTACTTTGCATATACCTATACTAGAAAATATAGGCCAGGGGTCTTAAATGGTAATTCTACTTTTGGGAATCTAACCTTTGGAAACACCCTAAAAGCTCACAAATGACCATTTTTAAGTAAATTGTGATTAAGCAACAGAAAGTAAATCATAGTCATAAAATGCCACACACAAAAAATAATCTTTCATATATACAAGGAAATACAGGGCATAGCTGAAAATATTTAAAGTATAGCTTCCTGGGCTAATGAGATGGCTCTCATATGAGTTTAATCACTAGATCCCTAGGAAAGGTGGAGGGAGAGACTCACAAAGTCATCCTCTAACCTCCATATAGTATGAGGACTTCCCTACCACCACCTTCAAATTTTTTTAAAAGTATGGATTTGAATTTTTTTTTTTTTTTGAACACAGAGCCTATGTATTCCAGGTTGGCTTTGAACTCCTGATCCTCTTGTCAACTCCCAAGTGTTAGGATAACAGCAGGTACATTCTACCACACCTGTTTTATATGGTGCCGAGGATGGAATCCAGGGCTTTAAGCATGCTAAGCAAGCAGTCTACCAAAGGAGCTCCAGCTCCAGCAATGTTTTTTTGTTTGTTTGTTTTGTTTTGTTTTTTGAGACAGGGTCTCACTATGTAACCTAAACTTTCCTAGAACTTGCTATAGCCCAAGATAGCCTTAAACTTGAGATTTTATTGCCTTAGTCTTCTGAGTACTAGGATTGCAGGTATATGCTACTATGCCCACTTTAAAAAAAAAATGGCAATGGAGGGTATGAGCAAGGTATAATATATAGATTTTTGATCTATATGATTATGGCATTTTGTGCCATAATGAAACCCATTGTATATTTGCCAAAAAAAGTTATTTTAAAAAGGTAACAGAAGTAGAATTAGAAAAAACTCCTTTATTTCCCTATCCCATATGGCAATTATCAATACCATTCATTCCCTAGTGATAGCTCACCAAGGCAGGATCATCATGTTTGTAGAGTGTCACTGCAGGAACAGCTGGCAAACCTAGCCACGGGCCAGGAGTCAGTGTCATGCTGTCACATTTGGTTGCAGCCTACCAAAAAGAGAGCTTTGTTCATTAGGTGACCAGAGGACACAAAACATAGTCCCTCCTGTAGCCTTGAAAACTATGTAAAGCCGGCATGGACTGAACAGACTAAGCTCCTTATCACCGCCAATATTCAATAAACCAACAACATACCAGCACAGACGAGGAGACATAACCTAGAGCCAATGTTGCCAGATTCACACTGGAAGAAAAAGCACCAGTCTAAGAACAAATTAGTTAATGTTACTTATTCCCTAAGTAGGTACTCTACAAGACAGAAAGAACCAACTGTGCTGTCATAAGATATGTGAGCATCTTCACCCATGTCTTTTGTTTTATTAGCATTTATTAAAGTGAAAGATGGGAACAACAGAAATTCTAAAAAAAAGTTTCAAAATGCAGTTTAATAAAACAGAACAAAACAAAACAACATGCTTTAGGGGCTGCCCCTGTTTATTTAGGACAATGTATCTTTCATGGCCACTCTTCCTCAGTCACTGTTCTTTTTGTATAAGATAAAAGAACTTGTATCTTGGATGATGAGGTCACATGGGCATCTGGCTGCCCAGCGCCTGCTCCTCCTCTCCCTAAAGACACTTCCAGGGGCCTTCTGTCAAACCACCCTATTACCTTTACTAAACTATGAGCTCAGGTGGAGTCATTTACCCACTTCAGAGGTGTCCAAAACACCTCAACTACCAGAGGAACTCACAGAATGTGAGGCTGGAATGGGAGCTAAGATTTCTGTAGTTACTTTTTACCATGACAGGAAATGGCTCTCCATGAGCCAAAACATAGGAAATCAAGCCAAGTGACCATGATTAGGGAGAAGTGAAGAGGAATATATGGAACTCTGGTTGACATTGTGCTTAAAGCCAGTCCTAATACTGGTCATTTCAGTTGTACAAAGTAATAAAATCTCCTTTCACTTTAGCCAGTTTTGATAATTTTGTCATCTGTTATCCAAGCTTTTAATAATAATCACTTTCAGTGTTGGTCTGAGTGTCAACTTTCCATGAGGACCAACATGGAACTGACCAACCTCATAGTGTACTTACCCTTCCACATGAAGCCAGATGTTATACTGCTCACAGAGCTCCTTCAAACGTCCAATCTTGTCCGTATGTCCAACAGCTGCAGTCCCTATAATAAAATAAACAGGAGCATTAAAAAGCAACCCAGTGCCTTCTGATTCTTTACAGTGAGGGAGTTTTCCTACACTTATACAGCATCTCCACAGAAAGGAAGCAGCAGTGAATTCCTACCTTGAAATCTTCCTTGTGGAATGACTTAAAACCAACACTTGAAAGTTGGTTTGTGTAAGTTTTAAAGAATGTGACTCCTTCTTTATAAGTATTAATTTCATAATGAAATTGTACTGGCTTTTTAAATCACTAGACCCGTTTGTTGATTCATGGAAACTGCCAAGTCTGTCATCAAGATTGTGGGACTGTCAATTTCTGCCTGCATTCTATCAGCACTTTCTTTATGAACTTCAAAGCTTTGTCCACAAGCATTTTTAACTATTTCCTCTTTCAGATTATGTCTCATCAAGGTGAACAATTCTATACTCACTACTCTAGGTACAGTACGTTTGTTGACATTGTTCAAGATATCCTTTCTTATTTTTTATCTCTACATCCTGAGTTATTTTGATTTAGGTGTCTCCTTTATAAAAACAATATGTAATAGAGTTTGGGTTTTTGCCACACAGGTTCTTCATTATTATAAAACATGTATTTTGAAGAACACTTAAACATGTATCAAAGACTTGGAGCTCACTCCTCAGTGATTTGTACTGTAGACTTTGCTGCTGAGCATACCCCTTTTTCAGACAGAACTTAAGTAAACCACACAGTCATGTATTCCCACAAATGCCCTGAGTTTCATTTAATAAAATCCCAACTAGTAAGAAATTCTATATCCTCACCATGGCCTTAACAAATCCATCTTTTAAAAAGTAAAATAAAATAAAAAATAAAGGTAATGTTGGCTTGCAGGGTAGCTGAGTTAGGAGTGTTTGCCTAGCAAATAGAGAACACTAAGTCAGATCCCCAGCACCACATAAAGCAGGTATAGTGGCACATGCTTGTAATCCTACCACTAAGACCAAAAGTTCAAGGTCATCCTTGGCTACCTGAGTCAAAGGCTAACATGAAATACAAAACAAGGGGAGTGGGAAACTGGGGAGATAGGTAAAGTGCCTATCCACAACCATGAATACCTAAGTTCAAAACCCAGAATTCATGTGAAAAGCCATGCATGGTAAACATTCATTGGCCCTGAAGTAAGAACCAGATGTCTAATAAAGTTTCACATTAGTCACGTATTTGTAGTCCTAGTGGAAGGCAGAGATAGGCAGATCTAGTATTACCTGGCAAGCTTCAAGCAGCAAGAGACCCTTTCTAAACAAAGACTGTGCCCAAGGCATACTCAACCCTCACCACCCCTCCAACACACAGCTTATTACTATGTAGCCCTGGCTAGAACTCAGTAACTCACTGGAGTACTGGGATTAAGGGTTTGTACACTGTGCTTAATATATCCCACACTTTAAAAAAATATCTTTTCATTTTTTTAAATTTGGTTCTGTTTTTTTGAGACAGGGTGTCTCTATGTAGCTATGTACATCAGGCAGTGCTATGTACTTGCTATGTACACCAGGCCTCCAGTACCAGAATTACAGCCATGTATACCACGCATTTAGGTTACTAAATTAAAAACGCTTGGCTGCAATACTTCTATCCAGATGAAAGTACAGAGCTGAGTTTAGTGACTGGGTCACTATCAGAGTACTTTCATATTTTTTGGTAGTGTCTGTTTTGGGGGCATGTATTCAGGGAAGAAAATGACTACAAGAAAAAATGGGAGGCCAATCAGTCACATGCTAATGCAATCTCTATTCTATAAAGAGACTGAATATGAATCAATTTGTGCTTTTTAAATATATATATACATATATATATTAGGGTGAGTCAGGCAGGAAGCAACAATTTTTCAGTGGCAATAAGGTGGATATTTAAGTGTTTTCTTTTTGTAGACAAACAGCCTGATTAAAATATAATTCATCTGAAATAAATCCATTCACTTAAATGTATATAATTCAATACATGTATACAGTGTGTAACTAGTGTCACAATCAATACTGTTTCTCTTACCTTAAAAGCTCCCCCATCTGTCCTGTAGCCACTCTCCTCCCTAACTCATGACCCCACTTGCTCCTGCCACTCAAGTCTTATCTTTCCTAAGGTGTCAAATCAATGCACCACACTGTATACAACTCTTTGTTCATCAGTATGCCTTTGAAATTTCTCTACAATGAACTGTGCATCAACATTTCTTTCTACTTATTGATTAGTGTTTTAATATAGACACGTGCTCCAATCTGTTTATCCATTCACCATGTGAAGGGCACTCTGTTCATTAATGACATAATTTGAACAAACACATGCATAGAATTTTTTGTGTGTGGAGATAATTTCATTTCTCCTTGATAAACCATGATAGTAGAAATGAATGGACTACAAGGATTTGCATTTGGCTCACTGAGAAACAGCTCAGGGTATTTATAGAACAGCTGTAACATTTTGTATTTGGTGTTATGTAAGAGTTCCTTCTGAGATTGAAACATTCCATCTTTCAGGGAAGCTCCTTAAACAGAAAGATAAAACTCAAAAAATAGCTTCACAAAGTCCCTGAAACTGACTAGATTCACTAGGTCCCTCCCTGCCAGAGTAAGTAGTAAAAGCTGAGAGTCCCTCTCAGAAGAGCAGAGCCAAGCTGCAAAGTAGACTCAGACAAGCTAAACAGCCTAAACAGCAAAGATGACTTTGAGATCAGACCAGTTGCCTGGAAGAGGTTTAGCTCAACTGAGGCACCTGGGAAGAACACTCCTGTGATGTTCACATTACATTAAAGTTTAGACTTACTATGCTTGAGAGACCAAAAATCAAAACATGCCTCTAACATGTAAGTCCCTAATTTGTACAGGCTGTACCTTAACAGCCCATGTCCTTTTTCCCCAGACATTGAAGACTATTCTTGAGTTTGCTGATGTTGTAACATCTGCTGTTCTTGCAAAATAATAGATCGATCATAAGGCTAACTTATTTTTCGGATTTTGTATGCTTACTCTGCTCAAAAAGAGAACAACTGCAAGACATACATGTTAAAATAAGACTCTGTCTATACTTAGGCAGAATACCTGTAATCTTGTGGGGTTTGTCGTTATAAACCCTGGGCTGATATGCCTAGCTGCTGCATCTGGAGAGAGCTCTTGGTTGAAGTGCTATGAGCATCCAGCCCCAGCATTTTTGTTTTGGGGTTTTGTTTTGTTTGTTGTTGTTGTTTGCTTTTGTTTTGTTTTGTTTTGTTTTAAAACAGGGTTTCTCTGTGTAGCTTTGCTGTCTTGGAACTTGATCTTTAGACAAGGCTAGCCTCAAACTCAACAGAGATTCAACTGCCTCCGCCTCGTGTGTGCATCACCACCATTCCCTAGGACCAGTATTTAATAAAGCCTCTTCTTATTAAAATGTATTCATGATCAATTCGATCTCTGAGTGACCCAGACCCAACAACTCCAACCTATTGAGCTGCCTGCAGATTGTGCAATGTGTTCCAGGTTTCCAACCTTGTGAGCTGTTCCCATGCTGGGATGGGCTTTGGTGATGAAGCTGTCTTTGAGTCATTTCTGCTCCTGTAACTAACCCTAATAAAACATCAAGTTGGCCTTTGATGGCATTTGCACTTTAGTCTGTAGTGGGATCCCTATCTTGGGTGAGTAGACATGTATGCTATGTCTCACCAGGAAAACTTTTGTCACACACCACCATACCAGGAATGTATGTGGCTGTATGATCCCTATCAGTATTAGGCACTTTTTGCCCCAGCAATGAGACCAAAAAAAAAATTCAGTGGAGCCAGGGTCTTAAGCATAGCAAACAAACATTCCACCACTATATTACATCTTGAGATCTCACTGTGGTTTTACTTTATTGTTTTACTTTATATTTTTGAGACTGCCTAGCCTGAAACTCACTATAAACCTTAAGACACCCTGAACTTCAAACTTCTTGTCTATACCTCCAGAATGCGGGAATTACAGACATGTGCCACCCACATTTGGTTCACTTAGACTTAAGGATCAAACCCAGAGCTTTGAACATCTGAACTACGATATCCCAGACCTTATTGTGGTTTCTCCATTTAGCCCAGACTAACCTTGACTCAGGCATTAAATCCCTCTGAAGTGCTGAGATTATAAACTATGATTTAAGTGTGTATCCATATATGCAGCTGAATTATACTGTTCTAATACTACTGATATTAAACATCTTTTCAAGTGTTTATATGTCCTTTGGTAAAATATCCATCCAAATGTTGCTCATTTTAAAGCTGTCTGTCACCTTACTACAATGGGACCCTAGACCTTAGTAGGTCCCTAGACCTTAGCACAACTGACTCCATGATGGATGTGCCATTTATGCTCAGCACATAGACAGTACCACCTGCCAAAATGAAAACAAAGACCCAATCCATCAAAGTCCATACAGTTCTGGGAAAATCTCTAAATGTACTAAACTTGCCTTTTAGCTTCTGTAGTTCTGCTTCTGGCTAACTATTCTTGTTAACTGAAATATGTCAACCCAGAACATGGTTTTTATGCTTAAAGGCTCCCCCTGAGAAAGGCTCAACTACACTGGGATCCTGAACACCCAGTATAGTCTATGGCTAGTTAATAAAAACTTTCTATTGGCTTAAACTCATGTCCAAGCAGTCTTTTCTGGTGAATGCCCCACAACACTTATTACTGAATTACGAACATTAAATATTTTAGATGCAAGTCACTTGCCAGAAAGAAGTGTTTTAAAATATTTCTCCCAGCCTATTGCTTGCTTTTCATTTCTTTCTTTTGTTTTCTTGTTTTGTTTTTTGTTTGTGTTTGGTTTTGGTTTTGGTTTTGGTTTTCAAGACAGAGTTGCTCTGTGCAACAGCCTTGGCTGTCCTAGATCTCGCTGTGTAGACCAGGCTGGCCTGGAACTTAGAGATCCATCTACCTCTGCCTCCTGAGTGCAATGCTGGGCTTAAACACTGCTTTTCATTTCTTAATAGGGTCTTTTGTTTTTCTATGTTTGAGACAGAGTCTATTATGTAGCTGTCCTGGAACTTGCTATATAAACCAAACCAGCCTTAAACACACAGAGATCCAACTGCCTCTGTACCTCTAACACTGGAATTAAAAGCGTGAGCAGCCATACCAGCTCAAAAGTTCTTCTCAAACAGCAAAAGCTTCTTGTTGCTGGGGACTGAATCCAGGGCCTTGTACTTGCTAAGGACGAGCTATACTGAGTTATATCCCAAATCAAGTTTTTCATTATTTTTTTGTTTATTTTGAGGCAAGACTTTGCTATGTAGCCTTGGCTGTCCTGGAACTTGCTATATAGAGATCGTGACAGGGCTTGTTTAGGGAGAAATGACTCAGAGACAGAGCCTACACTTACATTTGGGCCTTCTTAAACTTCTTTCAGGAATATGCTATACTTTTCAGTGCACAGACATTACACATATTTTTGTTAAATTTACTCATAAGGTTTTTCTTAAATTTTTTTATTAGTCTGTGCATAGACATTTGAGATGTGTGTGGGGGACACACATATGCCATGGCACCCTTGTGGAAGCCAGAGGATAACTTTGTGGAGTTGGTGCTCTTTCCACCTTTCTATGAGTTTAGGGAATTGAACTCTGGTTGTCAAGTACACTGGCTGGTTTTGGGTGTCAACTAGACACAAGTTAGAGTCATCAGAGGAAGGAGCCTCAGCTGAGGAAATGCCTTAATGAGATCCAGCTATAAGGCATTTTCTCAATTAATGATCAATGTGGGAGGGCCCAGCCCATGGTGGGTGGTACAATCCCTGGGATGCTGGTCCTGGGTTATGTAAGAAGGTGAGCTGAGCAAACCAGGGAAAGCAAGCCAGTAAGCAGCTTCTGCATCAGCTCATATGTCCAGGATCCTGCCCTGTTTAAGTTCCTGTCCTGACTTCCTTCAATGATGAACAGCAACGGTGAGTGTGAGTCTAATAAACCCTATTCTCCCTAACTTGCTTTTTGGTCACAGAAACCATAACTAAGACATCAGGTATACATCATCAGGCAGGAAGCACCTTTCCTAAGCCATAATGGTGCCCCATTTTTATGCTTTTTGATGCTATTATAAAAGACATTTTAAATTCAATTTATTTATTACATATATTTGTGTGTATGTGTGGGTACAAATGTCACAGAGTGCAAAGAAGTCAGAGGACAACTTGCAGGATTCTGCTCTCTCTTTTCACAATGAGATGGTAGCAATCACCTTTATCCACTGAGCCATCTTGCTTGCGCCTTAAATTTAATTTCTAATTGTTTATTGCTAAATAGAAATCTAGAAACCTTATTAGGTTCACAAATCAGTTCCAGGAGCTTTTCTTTAGTTTCCTTTAGAGTGCCACTCCTGGGACTGGAGAGATGGTTCAGAGATGACAAGCACCTCTTTTAGAGGTCCTGAGTTCAGTTCCCAGCTTACACATGGTGGCGACTCACACCACCGTGCAATGAGATCTGGTGCCATCTTCTGGCCTGCAGGGATACATGCCAGGAGAACAATATATACATAATAAATAAATCTTAAACAAAAAAAAAAAAAAAAGAGTACCACTCTTTGATGGGGCCTGGTGTCTTAACTTCTTTACCATTAGTCCTTACAAGGCCAAGACGGGATTCCTATGAATTCCAGGCCAGCCTGGGCTACAGAACTGAGACTCTACCTTGACAAAACACCACAAACAAGACCCTGTCTCTTAGGCCAAGTACTCACTAGGTTATGATACCTACCAGCACTTGCAACAAGCAGCAAGGGCAGTCTTCCTTTTTCTATGTCATCTTTGATCAGTTTCTCAAGAAAGGCAATGTCCTAGGACCAACAAACAAACCACAGAAATGTGAGCCAATCAGATAGAAGGCATACACTGAAAAATGACACTTTGTGTGCACACATCACATGCGCATGTGTATGGACACTAGAGCGCAGATGTGCTTGGAGGCCAAAGATCCACCTCAATTCTCTCTCAAGAGCCATTTAGCTCATTTTTTGAGACAGGGGCTCTCACTGACCTAGGGCTTGCTGATGAGACTAGACTGGCTGAACAGCAAGGCCCATGGATTAACCTGACTCCACCTCCCCAGCAATAGGATTGATTATAAGCATGAACCACTATGCTTCTTGTTGTTTTGAGACCGTGTCTTACCACATAACTCTAGCTGGCCTGAAACTTGTAGACCAGGCTGGCTTTGAACTCATGAAGATCCACCTGTTCCGCTGTTCGAGAGCTGGGATTAGACATGTGCCACCACACCCGGTTGAAGTCCCTAATTTTAAAACCCACAAGTGAATTTATTTTTTATGTGAGTTCTAGGCATTGCATTTAGGTCCTCATGTTTTCTCAGGAAGTACTTTACCAATTAAACCATTCCCCTACCCAGCAGGCAGGCTCATGTAGCCTAGGCTGGCCTTTAAGTCTTCATTCATGTGTGCACCATGTTTGCTTTTATGTGGTACTGTGGCTCAAATCCAGGACACTATGCATGATGCTAGGAAGCACTCTAATCTAACTTAATGCCAAGTAAAATATTATGAACTCTAAAAGCACAGATGTCTCTAATAACTCAACTAGGACTTTTTTATGTTAGGATAACTATTTACTCTGGAATTTCAGAATTAAAACATTAAAATCTATAAATCTATTCATTCTTACGTGTGTGTGTGTGTGTGTGTGTGTGTGTGTGTGTGTGTGTGTGTATACACATACGTAAGATTGAATATATATAGTATTTTAAAGCCACTGTATGCTACCTGGACACAATACATATTAGAAGCACTTAAACCCAGGTGCCTAGAGACTTGGGGGGGGGGGCGGCTAGGCCCTGCCCCAAATGACTTGGCAGATTTTGATGATCCCTTCTGGAAGGCCTCACCCTCTCTACATAGTGGATGGGGGATGGGATAAGGGGGTCGGTAGGGGGCATGTGAGGGAGAGAGAACTGGGATCGATATGGAAAATAAGAAAAAAAAAAAAAAAAAAGAAAGAACAAAAAAAGAAGCACTCATAAAACATTAGGGGTTTTTTGTTTTGTTTTTGTGATTTAGAGAATTTAGAGTTCTGAATTCTTTTTTTTTTTTTTTTTTTTTAATTTTTATTTGAGGCAGGGTTTCACTGCATAGCCCTGCTGGCCTGGAACTTGCTTTATGGGAATTTACCTGACTTTGATTTGCCAGCACTCAGATTAAAGGAATAGTGCTACTACACCTAGCCTGAATCCTTCTGTTTAAAAGATTATTCCTATAATATGAGTAAATGTTATTTGAATGACATTTACAACCTTTCCAAGAAGAGACTTTTACCCTTCATTGGTGTCATTGAGTGATTTTATTTTTCTATTATTAATATTAAAGATTCCACAGTATTCCTCCTATAGAAATTTCATAGTATTCAAATTTTTATTCTTAACAATTTTGCTTTCCATAATCATAGACAATAAAATCAGTTTTCCTTATAGACTAATTATAAAAATTGAAATTAAAGGTAAAACTATACATAAGTAAGATGAACACTTTCTCATTACCATAGAAACAGACAAGAAAACTATTTTGAAAATGGAAATGCAGAATCTTAACAGTTAATTCCTTTCTTCTGTCTTCAGTATCAAGATGTTTATCTATTGCATGTGTAAAAAAAATTATCACAATTCAACCCTAAGATTACATTGAAGGACTTCATTTCAAAATCTGTCTATTCACATTGTAGGAACACCACACTTCTGAAACCAGTCTGGGCTTCCCAGGAAGACCTCAACAAATCAAAAATAAAAGAAGGTAGTAGTGATGACTGGCTAAAACTCTGAGCTTGAAAAAATTTCTCACACTTAATTAGTGTGAACGATGATGAAAGGGCTGGAAGAGCACATCCTCAGAATACAAAGGGCCCAAGCACCAAACAACCCCTCTCCCATCACCCCAAAAGAAGCAGATGATGAAGCAATACACAATTTCTTTACAGCTACATAGGCTGGACCTTCATTCCAATACAAAAGTACACACAGCACCAAAATGGGAAGACTGAAGTGACAGGGATGTCCTTCTGTATATGTTTCTCCTACTGGTTGATGAATGAAACACTGATTGGCCAGTAGCCAGGCAGGAAGTATAGGCGTGCTACCAGACAGGAGAATGCTGGGGAGAGGAGGCAGAGGGAGGCTGCAAGGAGACACCATGTAGCCAAGGAAGAAGTAACAAACAGGTAAGATCATGTAGAAATACTTAGATTAATAGAAATGAGTTAATTAAGAGAGAGTTAGCTAATAAGAAACCTGAGCCATCAGCCAAACAGTTTATAATTAATATGTCTCTGTGTGCTTATCTGGGGCTGATCAGCTGTGGGACCAGGCTGGAAAGAAACTCTACCTACAAAATGAAGCAATAAATAGTTATGTTAATAACTATCTGTAGGCCAGCAAACAGAACCTCAGATAAAAGGAAGAAATGGTTTCAAAATGCAATTCTATATTACCTCAGAAACCCCAAACCAAGAACTCACCATCTGATGCTGGGATCCAAACATAGTGTTACAGGGCACACGACACAAGCAGGGCAGGGGTAAGCCCAGCTGCAAGAAGAAACACACCGTTTACTTATGACTGTGAGAGACTGAGCAACAAAGGCAAGCTACTCTTTAGAAACAGAAACCTCAGTGAGGCATAACAGAATATGTCTGTTATTACTGAGGCTGGAAATCACATGGGTAAAGTAAGCCTGGGCTACCTTTAAGATTTAAAAAAAAAAAAAAAAAAAAAAAAAAAGCTTGGCATTGGAGTCTGAGACCAGTCTAATGTACAGAGCAAATTCCAGGACAGAGAAGCATTGTCTCAAAAAAACAAAAAAGATTAAAAACAAACAAACAACAACAACAAAAAAAACTCCCCTCAAGAATTCAAGTTTACAAACACATCAATGTTAAAAAGACATTTGGAAAGTTAGTTTTACTCCCAAAAGGTGACTTACAAATGCTTAGTAAGAAGACACAATCTACACCTTTTTAAATGAGTCATGTAACTACTTTTGATTTATTCTAGAATATGCCAAGTCTTTTTCAAACAAAGAAGCTACTAAGTACCCTGTATTCTGAGGTGAGGAGCGTGATTGGGATTCTTTCTCCAATCATTCAGAGAACAGGGTCATATTTATGGGTTATGCTACCCTTAAAAGAAATAAAAACAGATTAGCAGAAGTATTTTGCTTAAAAGAAGCAAAGTCAATGCCATGGATTGAGAAGGTTGTCAAATAATTTTATATTCTTAATGTTTAGTTTCCTAACACGGGGTTTGTAGTTTTAGGAACTGTAAACAGGTGGAGCATAAAATTTACAATACAGTGAGCAGTGCATTCACACATTTCCTCTAGAAAGGACTTTTTATAGTACCTTTTCCTTTGGCAGTGCCAGGGACTGAACCCAGGCTTATGCATGCTAGCCAGACAAGTGTTCTGCTATTGAGCTACCACTCATCCCTTCCTTAAAGTATTGAAAAAACAAAGATTCACTTCAAAAGTGAATCCTGAAATCCTAGCACCCAGGAGGCTGGTGAAAGAGGATGGCCAGTTCAGAGCCACCCTAAGCTACAGAATGAGTTTGATACCTGCCTGGGATACACTCAAGACAAGACCTCATCTGAAAAAAAATAAGTTGGGTATGGTGGCTCACATCTGGGCAATCCTCCTGCTTCTACTTTCCAAGCTCTAGAATTACAGGTGTAGTGACAACAAGCCCCGTGAAACTGTCTTTAAAAGGGCTAAGGAATAGGCATGGGTGAGTACAAGAAGAGAGCTTAACATCCATGGAAACACTTGGGTTTCAATTCTTCAATTCACAGTACCACCAAAATAACAAAACCAAACATTTTAAGTGAAAATGAATCTTGTAAGCTACCAATCTATCACTGTTAAGAGTTTCATATATAACCTTCTGATCATTTTGTAGCTATAAATACATGATTTGGATAAATTTGGTTTTCTAGGCATAAAAACTTGAAATACCATTAAAACATGATATACTCCTTTTATAAAAGCAATTAAATCCAATAGAACTATGTACATCCCTTTTGATAGAGTATAGGACAAAATAAAGTATTGGTTGTCTTTGGGTACTCAAAACCACTGAAATGTATCTATTACACATTATTTCTAAATTCAGTAACATTTGAGGGGGGTTCTCTGTGGAGCTCTGGCTGTACTAGAACTTACTCTGTACACCAGGCTGGCCTCAAACTTGAAGAGATTTGCCTACCTCTGCCTCCTGAGTGCTGGGATTAAAGGTGTGCACCACCACTGCCCAGCTAAAACATTTGAGATATAACAACACCATGCAGTCTAGGCTGGTGAAATTTCTTCTCTCTCTCTCTCTCTTTCTCTCTCTCTCTCTAATTTACTTATTGGTGGGGGCATAAGCCACAGTTGTCAGAGGAAAACTTAACACAATTTTCTGAGGATTCAAACTGTAGTCCTTACCCTTGCGTAGCAAGCGTAAGGACTCTAAGCCATCTCCCCAGTTCCATGCATACTGTTTCATTTGTGTGTGTGTGTGTGTGTGTGTGTATGCACACGTGCACCTGCACATTTGTATCTGCATTACATTTATGCAGGTTTCAATAGAGGACATCACATGCCCTGGAATTGCTGTTATAGGTGATTGTGAACATCTCAATCCGGCTGTCAGGAACCGAATACCAAGCAGGAGTAGTCATCCACTTGTAATTCTAGTCCTGGAAGGCAGAGACAGGGACTCTGCAGAACAAGCTCTGGATTTGACTAAGAGACCCTGACTCAATGAATGAGAATAAAGAATATTTAGGATGACTTCTGACATCAACCCTGGTCCTCCATGAACACATATGTACCTACTGTCACAGACATAAAACTATGCACACATATGCATACAAGTGAGAAAACCCACCACACCACCACCACCTGCTTTTTATATTACCTGATTACAAAGGTATTGGCCCAGGCCAGGTCTAGCAGCAGCACTAAGATATATGACAGGCTTTTTGTTATATAACACGTCAAATCCATCCACTACAAAGTCTTCATAGCGAGAATGAATGGCAAGCCTACAGATCTTAGCAAGTCCTTCCCTCTCTTCTTCATGGAAATAAGCACATCCATTTTCATACCTATTAAGAGATCTCATATGTTAATGTACTCTTAATTTTTAAAAAGATTTTGTTTTTATTTTATGTGTGCCTACATGTATGTATGTGCACAACATGTGTACAGTGCCCAAAGAGGCCAGAAGAGTCATCAGATCACCAGAACTAGAGTCACAAGTGGTTGTGAACAGCTGGGAATCAAACCTAGGTTTTCTAGAAGAGTAGCCAATGCTCTTCACTGATTAGCCACCTCTTTCCAGCTGCATATCAATATTTCCTATTTCTAGTTAATTCTGGTTTTTTTTTTCACTAGTATAAAAATCATGAAAGCAATTCTTTTCTCATAAATGCTAATCCTATACAAGGCAGAGGGGACACATTGAGGAACCCTTTCATTTTCAATGTCTGCTTACTCACTGTAGGTGCAGGTTATAAGGAGAGGAGCAAAGAGGCCGAATCCACACCTAACTCCAGAAACAAAATGAACAAAAACATTGGAGACAAAGACTAAAGTCCCCAGAAATAAAAGAGCCTGAAGACAATGGCTCTCACTTGTTCCATGTGAAGGCTAGTGATACAGGCTGACATGGTAGTTAGGAGTTTCAGCACTAAGACATCTGAAATAAAAAAGCATTAACATGCCCATTTAGTCCTCAAATGAAATAGCTATTTATGCTCTCCCCACTTAATACAAGACAAAACCTAGAAATGGAGAGGTTAAGCAACCCAGCCAAAGAAGAGCCATATGCATACGGAGCACCACAAACATTACTCACAATCCACATCTGATTCTGATCCACTTTTAACAGGAATTAAAAATTTGTAAGGATGGCTGGAGAGGTGGCTGTTCAATTAAGAGTACTGGTGGCCCTTCCAGAGAATCTGGGTTTAGTTCCTAGCACCCACATGGCAGCTCATAACTACCCGTAACTCTAGTTTCAGGGGATTTGATGTCCTCTTTTGGCCTGTTTGGGCACTGTACACATAAAATACATATCTATACATGAAGTCAAAATACTCAGACATGTTTAAGGGGGAAAAAAAAGGAGAGCTGAGTGTTGTGCTGTACACCTTTAATCCCAGCACTTAGGAGGAAGAAATAGGCAGATCTCCTTGAGTTTGAGGCCACCTTGGTTTACATAGCAAGCTCCAGGACTGCCAGGCTACATAGAGACCTTGCCACAAATAAACAAGTAAACCTAAAATTAAATAAACAAACACATCCCTCATAATGTCTTCACCAGTAAATAAATTAATCCTTAAAAAAACAACTGGAACAAAACTCTGCTCACAACATCTTTACCTGAAAATCCGGCGTAGCCATAAAGTAGTGTCTGAAAGTATCCTGGTTGTAAGTTTTCTCAACTTCTCTTTGTCCAGAGTTGAAATATAAGCACCCAGACTATGACCCAACAAAGCCATATGACCTTGTTCTCCAATATTCTGGATTCTGTCAATCAAAATCATTAGCGTATTAAGAACTAATTATCACCAAAGCATAGAAAAGGAAATAAAGTTTAAACAGTGTTTCACAGAATGGCAGACTTTCAATTCATTTCATGTCCTGCAGAGAAATTCAGAAAAAAATGTGTATGAGGTGCTGAAATTTTTTGGGAGGAAAAAAATACTTTTAAAATTGAGTCCTGAAAAATAAATATAATGCAAACTGTTCTTAAATTCTCTTAAATAAATGTAAATAAATATCAGTCTGAAGAGCTACGGAGGAGGGCTGAAGAAATGGCTCAGAAGTGTAAGAGCACTAGGTATTCTTACAGAGGACCCAGGTTCTGTTTCCAGCACTCAGATGGTAGATCACAACCATCTGTAATTCCTGTCCCAAAGGATCCAACAAACTCTTCTAGTTTCCAAAGGCATCAGGCATACCAGTGGTGCATAGACATACATGCAGGCAAAACATCCACAGGCATAATGGTAATGATGATGAACTGCAGGGTAAGGGCAATGTAGCTCAGTTATAGGATGCTAGTCTACATAGACACCCACACAAATATGGCATAGATTCACACAGACAAACAGACATATATATATATATATATATATATATATATATATATATATTCTTTTTTTTTTTTTAAGTCTTTTAAAGAGTTTCTCTTAAACATTTTTTTTAAAAAGGTTCTGAGGCTTGACTTGAGACCCTGCCCATGCAAGGCAAGTGTACTACCACTGAGCTATACCCCCAGAATTAAATAAGTCTTAAACCACACAAAAGACATAATCTAGTTTTTAAGAAAAAAATTATGCTGAAATACCTCACCTTATATTTCTCACTCACTTATCAAAGATCCTTAAGTGTGCTAACAACCATTGCAGCAAATGTGTGGGGAAAGTATTCTCACACACTGCTGGTGAGCCTCTGAACTGGCTCATCTCCTGGGAGCATTGGGCTCTATGAAATCCAAAATACACACATGCATTATCTGGCCCAGCATACTACTTCTATGAGTTATTCCCCAAACACACTGCCACTGCAAGAAATTACATATGCTTAAAGTTATGGCTACAGCAATGTTCGTATCAGTAAAATGGGAACATGAGTCAAAATTCTACTCATGTATTCAAAGTAAAACAAAGTTGCTCTTAAAGAGAAAGTTCCTTGTAACATACAATGAACTCCAAGTACTAACTGGGAGGGGAAAAAAATCAGGACACATAGATAATATTTAAGTTATGGATGGAGTGTGTATGGATGTTTTGCTTGTATATAAAAACATATAAAATATGTATGGAATAATAATAAACTGGTCATCATCTATGGCCACAAAAGAGAACCAGGTCGGGAGGCCTGTGTGTGCATGTTAGTACTGGGAATTGAACTCAGGGCACATATATGCTACCACAGCCTAGAAAATCATTTTTGTATACCCTTTCTTATCTTTTCTCAATTTTATTGAGCTTTTTTTGGGGTCTTGCTATATAGCCCACAATGGCTTCAAACTTGTGACCCCTTGTTTATTATGCCTAGTTTATCTTCTGCCTATTGAACAAAGAAACTATATTACTGATACCAAAAAAAAGACAAAAATGAAGATATACATATAAATATACTACACAGATGACTAAATTAAGCAAAAGGTGATTCACAGACAATGAAGGCTAATTAGTTTAACTGTAGTAATTCTTAGCAAGCTAAAGAAAAAACAGAAAAAGCACATGGCATTTCAGTCCTAATACCATAAAAATGTCAGGATCTACTTTTAGAATTTAAAGATATCGTTTGTTCATTTGTTTTCCAGACAAGGTTTCTTTGTATAACAGTCCTGGCTATCCTTGAACTCACAGAGATCCAGCCTACCTTCTAAGTGCTTGGATTAAAAGCATGCAGCATCACTGCCCAGCTTCAATATAACTTTTAATGAAATTATTATTCAACGAAATTTCTTCCTTGAGCCACTTATGAGAGCAGAATCACAAAGACTTTTTTTTTTTTCTTTTTGAGACAGGGTTTCTCTGTATAGCCATGGCTGTTTTGTAACTCACTCTGTAGACCAGGCTAGCCTAGAACTCAGAGATCAACCTGCCTCTGCTTCCCAAATGCATGGGATTAAAGGCATGTGCTATCACTGCCTAGCCAAGAACAAACTTTCGAAGATAAACTGCTAACACTCCTCTATTACCGGGTGCTCTGAGGCTCCTCATCTTCATCTCCGTGCATCAGATTTTGAACTAACTGGAGGATGCTCACCATATCTTGTCCACTGTGGAACAAAAAAAAGGGTTAGGTGGTTGGAAAGAACTCATATGCCCCTTCCCTCCATCTCCCAACCATTTCTCTCATTTAAACTAGCTTAAAATTGCTTTTTGTTTTTGTTCTTTTTAAACATTTGGTAGCTAGCTACAAGACAAAGAATGTTTAGAAACAGTTTATACATTTTCAAAACATTCAAATTATGTAACTTTACTTATTCTTTGACCCAAATGTAAGTTTGATTTTTTTTTTTAAATATTTTCAGTGCTGCTCTAACTGTATTTCTATAATGGATCATTTCATTCCTGAAAAGCAGAGATTATTTAATAAGTATAAGAGCCAATCTTTGTAAGATGCTAGAAGGCCATAAAACCATTAAACATTCTCTATTGACAAGACTCAGGAGTCTTGTCCACTTGAACAACAACCTTAAACATGCAATCATTTATTTCCAACTCTTATCCAAGTTAGAAGATTTGAGATCTGCTTAGAGTGTAAGTAGATACTAAACAGAGTATAAATAGACTGACTTCTATCCAAGGTATGCTATTAAGTCCTTATTGTATGAAATGATAACAGGAGAATATGTCAATGACTAAAACAGTATGAAACTTCAAGACAATTTATGGTACATAAAATATAAAATTACTCTATTAATAACATTATTTTAAAAAGAAGCATTGCAGGGAGTGGTAGAGAGCTTGCCTGGCTTTGAACTCTAGGTTCAATCCCTAAGACCACAAAAATAGTACTAAAACCACCATCAAAATAGTGCTCCAAAGCCATGTTCCCCAAGGTGCCTTCTAAAATGAAATGCTCTGATCCTTTAACACTGTAGAGAGAAGGGAAGGGTAAGAAGCTGAAGTTCACTTGGCTGCTATCTTGTGACCTTAAGTGAGAGAGCCACAGGGGTTGGGTATAAGCATTAAAGAATGGAGAGGAGATAATCAGACTGTACCTGTAAAGCATTTATAAGCTTCAAATACTAGTCATTAGCATTATTAAATATAGATAATCCTAATCACTGTTAACAATGTTTTTAATTGTGCTGCCAGTCTAAGAATTCCAGGTGTTCTTGGGAGCTCTAGTGAAACTTTCGTGTAATTAGGAGAACAAGTCCTTGTCCCTTCACACCTGGGATAGGAGCAGACAGGATCTACTTCCTATTCTAAGAGGTGAGAGCTCTACAGACTTCAAACCAGCAGGATTCATGCTATAACCAGAACAATTGAAAACATTAGTATCTGGGAGTGTCAGGCATGATGTATGGTGTGGTATTTCCTCAATGCTTTCTTTTGTAACTGTGTACAACTTATATTCGGGTCAAAGAGCAATACAAGGGAGTTGTACTGTAGACATAAGTGCAGTTTCCTGTTATAAAAGAAAACTTTTTTATACCAAAGAAGTTGGGCTGGGACTTTAATTGCAGATCAACTGCTAGCATTCTGTGAAAACGACAGCCAGCTACTTCTTTTTCACTAGTAGTTCAAACCACAAGGACTTGATAAATTTGCACCGGTTGCAAACAAATTAATCATTCCAGCAACGATTAAAGATGACATTTTCCTTTCATTTACTATATTATGGGTTTTTCATTTTGTTTTGTTTTTGAGATAAAGTCTCTTTATATAGTCCTGGCTATCCTGGAACTCCCTGTGTAGACAAGGCTGGCCTTGAACTCAGATCTGCCTGCCTCTGTCTTCTGGGTGCTGGGATTAAAGGCATACACCACTACACCTAATTCATTTTCTATATCATAAAAATTATAAACTGTACCAAATTAAAATATCTCTCACATTAAAACAGTCTACAATAGAAATTACAGGTTTCAAGAATGAACTAGTTTGCTATCCCAGTTATAGTTATGAATTCATGAATGGCTTTTGATCATAAGTTATAGTTATGAAAGAGGGGTCAGGTATGGTGGGACATGCCTGAAATCTAGTACTCAGAAGTCTGAGGCCAGAAGACTGCCACCAGCTGAAGGCAAGCCAACGAACAAAAACAGTTCTGAAAGAGAATGAAGCTGGTAAGCTCACTATTATCGCCAACCAGCCAGTTTTCTAATGTTCTACTAAGTAACTACTTAAATTATCTTGGTACTCATTCAAAGTAAACTTGTGAGAAAATAACAGTAAAATTTTGGATTAAAAAAATATATATCCTAACCAAAGGTACTATTGCCACCTACCTGCCCTGGAGTGGCCCTGGAATATCTTCTGATACTGGCTTCTTTCCATTTTCCTCCTCTATTCTTCTGGTTTAAAAGAAAAAAAAAAAAAAAAAAAAAAAAAAACAAAGGTTGACTGCATGGTTTAACCAATGAAGTTTCTAACATATGAACATGCAAACATGTGACTTTACCTAGAACATATAGTAATTGACAGAAGATTTCAAACACATTTGTTTCATCTTCCTAGACCCCCAGATATACTTGAAAGTTTCAAAAACTAAAAACAACCACTGTAACCAACTGCTTGGTTAGTTAATAGCTTATATGTCTGAATCTATACTAAGAAGGATTTTAACATTCAAATCAAGGCATCCCATAAACAAAACTCTGAAGTGGCAGAATTGAAAAATCCTTTCGTTGCAAAGCACCTTCTATACAATACCTGTAGCTTTAAAGTCAGCAAAATCTGACATCCTAAAGATGGAAATATCTGTAACAGGAAGAAACCAGAACCACCAGATTGAAAACTGGCTAGACACACTCAGCAAGGCAGCCTCTATCCTACATGCTCACCTCTGACTGTTCTCTAGCATCCGCATTGCCTCCTTCAAGTTTTTTCCCATTTCAGCTAATGTAAGGTCTGATATCTAGAAAACAAACCAAAAAGGGCAAAATTTTAACATTCCTCTATTACTTTTTGTTTATTCTATAAGCAATCTTTTTCTATACCCTAGACTTTCCTGGAACTCATGGTAATTCTCTTGCCTCAGCCCCTCTAGTGCTAGGATTACAGGCATGAGCTACCACATCTGACTTAGTCTATTATCTCTATTACATAATTCATTCAGAAAAACCAAATGCAAGTCTAAAATGCATAGATATATTGTGACAAGCAAAAGTATATAGCATACTCAGTAATAGTCTCCCAGCCGTAACTTCTTAGTGGAACCCATTTTCATCTTATATACCCCTCTGTAGTTCACAATTGCCCACTTTACAGCAAATATTGCCCCAGTCAACAAGCAGGCTTCATTCCTCTAGTAGTCACACCTCACTCCATTTGGTGAATGTCTGTGTGTGTGTATAATTTAAATAGTCCTAAGTTAATAGACCCTGAAGTCATTCCAATTTTCTATCAAAAAAAAAAAAAACAACAACAACAAAAAACAAATACAGAAGTATGCTTCTCACTTTCAATCATTGCAGTGGGCTAAAAATCTTACCTTTTTCCTCTCTATAAGATCCTGGGGTCTGTGAATATTGTATTATATGGCAGTTTAAAGATCTTGAGAGAGTTAGACAACTTTTACTATCTTCTCTATGATAAAGGCAAAAAGAAACACATGTATGCACATACATACATACATAGATTATACAAAAAGTGAGCAGAAAAGACTTTGAAGATGCTGGCTTTAAAAACGAATGACATGACCCTATAAACCACAATGATGAGCAACTTGGTGCTAACCCTAAGGGTGCAACAGTGGCAATCACAGCATGATGGTAACCAACAGCAACCATGCCTGCTACTACAAAAATCCAGCTAACCAACCATCAGGGGCTAGTGAGATCATGAATCTTAGAGGAGAACCTACTACTGCCACCTAGAATGCAAAAACTGCATTCTAAATACCTTACAGCTCACAGATAACCCCTTAGCTCTTATCCCTCAGCAAAGAAACTTCTCTTTGCGATAGAAGAAGACACTAGAGAAAAACAGAGAGCAAATGATCTGGGGTACCCATGCCCAACTGATCCATCTATAAACAACTCCTACACATAAGGTTCAGAGAACATGGAGGAAGGGGGTGTCAGAGGATCAGGAAAGCTGTTGTGAGATTTACACACACACACACACACACACACACACACACACACACACACAAATAATAAAAACCCCAGACATCTCTCTTTCTTCTTAATCTCCATAGTAATGTTTAGGGGAAAAAAGTCAAAGTGGAAAGTGAAAACCAATACCCACACTGTCCTCTGATATCACATGCACACACCTGTACTCACATATATGAATGCATGAACACGTATCTATTTCACACACATTGACACAGACATATACATAAAACCAAACATCAATCTTCCAAGAACAACTCTGGGAAGATCTATATAAAATTGTTGCTTCTAGTGCCTTCTAGTGCCCATTAGGTAGATAAAAGAATGTTAAGTTTCATCATAAAACTATCATTTAAAAAAAAGTATATCATGAAAATATCTGATTCTAGCTTAACATTTTCGGGGTGAAGAAATTAAGTCTTGGAGATGTGATTTGCTGAAGACATGTGGGTTCCTTGTTCCCTTTTTGTGACCTCTTATTACACAAGCTGGCTTCTAAGAAGGTTTACAAAGTAACCCTGTGCCCATATCTACTTAGATTTATTTTTCCTCCCTCTTTTCTTTTTTGAGACAGAATTGCATTATGTAGCTGTAGCTGGACTGAATTCACTATGGACACCAGGCTAGCCTCAAACTCAGAGATCTGTTTGCTTCTACCTCTGAGTGCTGGGATTAAGCCATGCTTGGTTATATGTTTCTGATGTTTAAATACAACAAAAATATTTTCAAACAGATGTTTTAAATAAAATCTGAAACTTAAATATAACTATGAAATGGGTTATATTTAAAAGGGTCTCAGTGATTTTATTATTATTAATCAAGAGAATTTATCTTTATTCCTAAGTCTCCCAATTTTGTTCCTTTATCACCCTCATCTCTTGTAGCTCAATGGAAAGATAACCAGTTTATTTCATCACTCACATATTCACCTGACAGCTTTGAATGCCTTTGTATTTTTAAGTTACAAATCAGGACTGTGTGCATGTGTGGGTGGGTCCCCACAGAGGCCAGAGAAAGGTGGCATAAATGTCTTCCTCTTTTGTCAGATCCCCTGGAGAGCTAGAGTCATAGACAGCTGTGAGTTACCTGATAGGATTCTGGAAAACAAAGTCTGGTATTGAGACCAATAAGTACTCTTAAACAATGAATCATCTCTTCTCTCCATTTCCACAATTCAAAATTTCTACGAAACTTTTATAGATACAACCACTTTCACAACCCCTCTATTTTTCCTTTTTTTTTTTTTTTTTTTGTGAGACGGGGATCCACTCTGTATATCCCAGGCTAGCCTAACATCTTCTATGTAAGCCAGGCTGGGCTTGAACTTGCTATGACTGATCCTTCTCTTCTGCTTCTCCAATGCTGGGATTTGAGGCATATGTGCTACCACACTAGGTTTCACCACTTTTTTCTAAACCCAAAGTCTGACCTCACTGACAAAAATAACAAAAGATATAGAACTTATGGGGATAATGGAATAGAACTTTTGAAACTGGGGCCATTCTGACATTCAGCTGCCACTCTTCTCAATTCCCCACATCCTTCACTGGGAACCAGTTTACAGCTGCTCTTTCCAGCACAGATAAGAACTTCCTAGCCACATCATGAGCTGCCTACAGGCAGGGAGGGATAAGACCCGCTAATTCCTATTTCCCTTATTTGAACAAGGATGTAATGTCAGACACCTTTCAGTACTGGACATCAGCCTCCTTTCTCTCTATAAAGTGCAGCACAATATTTTTTTTCTATAGCATTGAAACAAATCTTTTTAGTTAACAACAAACAAAAAGTCATAATCAGTGAGATGGCTCAACAGGTAAAGGAACTTGGCGCCAAGTCTGACAGCCTGAGTTCAAGCTCATAAATCCACATGGTGGAAAAGAATATTAACACTAAGTTGTTTTCTGACTACACATGTGTACGATGGCTCAGTCTTCCTCTCTTTTGCCTGTTTTTGTTTATTTACTTTTTTATTTGAAATGGTCCTATGAAGCCCAGACTGGCCTTGAATTACGTAGCTGATGAGGATCATGAACTTTTGTGTGTATGCACATTGGTGTCTATGTGCGAGAGTGTAGAAGAGGCTACAAGTCAATATAAAGTGCCTTCCACTTTTATCTTTTGAGTAAGGATCTCCCAGATGAACCTAGAGCTTCATGAACCTACATGAATAAAGAATTGAATTGAAATCAAGTGTAGTAATAATCCCTTGGAAGGTAGAAGGATCAAATGTTCAAATCCAACCTCATCTACATCTGGAGTTTCAAGTCAGCCTGGTCTAATTGAAACCTCCAACCCAAAACACAACAAAAAAAGAATGCAATTGATTAAATGTTGTGGATGCCTGTAATCCCAACACTCAAAAGGCTGAGGCAGAATTCAACTGCTATGAATTTGAGGCCATGGGTTTGATCCCCAGTATTGCAGAAACTGAGTGAAGTGGTACACAGCTTGGTCTCAGTACTTGGCAGGTAAAGGCTAAAAAATTTAAGGCCATCCTTGGCTACACAATAAGTTTGTGGCCAGCCTGAAATAAACCAGGTCCTATCTAAAAAAACAAAAATAAACAACCCAGAAATTGTACAAAGATACCTATATAAAAGGGGACTATTTTATATTAAGGAGAAAACAGTATTTTCTACAGCCTATTCTTAAGAAACGGTTATATTTTCATTTTTGCTTTAACAGTAAGCATAGGCGCTACCACAGAATAAGTAGGATGATCCTTAATAATTACTGAATTGCTTTTAATCATCAGGCATTATGCTAATTAACCACCTTACACATATTACCTCCCATATAACTAAAGTTTACGTTTAATGATCATTTGCCCTGTCTGTCCTAGATCTTACTATGCAGACCAAACTAGCCTCAAACTCAGAGATCCTCCTGACTCTGCCTCCAGAGGCTAGAATTAAAAGGTGTGTGCCACACCTGGCTCATGATCATCATCTTCATTCTACAATATTACAACTAGTTAGGATCAAACAAAATAGAACCAGTGAGATGGTTCAGTGGCTAAAGGCTTTTGCCACCAAGCCTGTGGCAAGTGACCCAAATAAGGGCACTTTAAGAGTATTAATTAGTGCCAGGAGTTGGTGGCACATGCTTTTAATCCCAGCTCTCCGGAGGTAGAAACAGGTGGATCTCTGTGAGTTCGAGGCCAGCCTGGTCTACAGAGTGAGTTCCAGGACAGGCTCCAAAACAACACAGAGAATCCCTGTCTTGAAAAACCAAAAAAAAAAAAAAAAGAAAAAAGAAAAAAGAAAAAGAAAAAAAGAAAAAGAAAGAAAGAAAGAAAATATTAATAATTAAACCAGGACAAACGGTGTAGATTGGGATGGTCCTAGGCAAACCAGGATGTAGTCACCCTACCTGTAACTAAATGTTTACTTCAGATCTTAAACCTTATTCCTTCTAGCAAAGTCAGGGAAATTTATGTGGTGGTGGTGCTGGTTTATGAGCAATAAGGGAAATAAAGCATACACTACAAAGCAGTGTGTCATTAGGTTCTCACAAAAGATTTACTTTCCTGCTTTCCTCTTTCTTTGTTTAAATTCTAGACATGGGCCTTGTGAGATGGTTCAGTAGATAAGTGTTTGCCATGAGATGATATAAGCACAGGGACTTACCACCCCCAGAACCCATGTAAAGGTGGAAGGAGAGAATCAACTTCACAAAGTTGTTCTCTGGCGTCCATATGCATACTGTGGCAATGAGTGTTCACCTATGCATATTGCACAAATATTTTAAAGATAAATATACCTGAGTAAATTAACCTGATTAAATGTCTGAGTTC